AACCATGAGCTTGCCATAATTTTCAGGCCAACTGGCATTTAGAGTGGCACTTCGACATATTGACATTATGGGCTTTGGCTAAAACTGGAGAGWTTTCTGCAGCAGAAGAGTTACTTGGGAGCTTGGAGTCCCGGTTCATATAATCATCTTCCAGTGCACCCTTATTTATTTACATCTGTGGTTCTTTGCTTACAGTCATCTGTTTCTTTATGTAGATTGTTGAAAATGACGTCAAAGAAACAAGAAAAGATGCAAAGAGGAATGCTGGTTTGTTCCCTTTCTCTCATCTCGTCTACCTTTAAGCTGGTCTATACCAGTTGTGTCCTTTATGCGTTATTTATGATTGTCACATTTTTTGTTTCCTTCCTATGAGTGTAACTTCTTTGGAGGATACCTTCTTCAGTTTTGGTTTCTTGTTGCAAGCACAACTCATTATTTTGAATTTTTAACTATTTTATCCTGGCACAAATCTGTTGCATCGATCCTTTCAGCCACTTTAGAAAACAGAACCTTCAAGATAAGTTTGATTTTCCTTTTCATTTCGGGGCCTTATTTGCATATTCCCAGCTTGCAGAAGCTGTCTACAAGTACGGGAGAGGAGATTACAAACGCGCACTAGACTTACTTGGTCTGGATTTTGATGCAAATGACTATAAGGTATCAGTATCAAGGCTGATTTACATTTCATCTCATCTACATTTCTTGTCAACCTGATGGTGCTCATCAAGATACATCTTCTGGTTATGTTCTAGATGATTGGTGCATCGAATGAACAGGTTGATGTATTTAATGAAGTATGGTACGACATCTTGATGAACACAGTACACGCTTCAAAGGGTATCTTAAGAAAATACCCCTTCTCTTTTTCCTTGCTCAAATAATGATTTTCTTCAAAGCATGACTTTTACAGTTCCATTTTATAGCAATCGAAGTAATCAAGAAGCAACTCGAGACGAGGGAAGGAGTTCCTTTTATGTGGCGCCTTTTGGTAGAATGCTACTCTCTTATTCCACCATTAATGGATCACCACTACAAGTTTCTGGATGAATATGATTCTTGTCTACTTCTGCAGGAGAGAGGGTACAGCAAAACAGGAAGGCCGGAGGAAGCTGCCATTGCCGGAGGCAAAGCCGGAAGCCTGGAGAAGGCATATTTCAAGTAGATGCCTTGAAGTTGCAGGTCTTCATGATCTTCTGCCAGAGTTGTTCTGTGTTTCCGTTTTGGACAAAAAATTTAAACCCACGTAGATTACGAAGATTACTGCCTGTGTAATCTTTTAGTTAACAACTGCTGCCATGTAAATTATGACAAAGAGGGGATTCAGATATTTAGTTTGTTTCTCGAAAAGTAGAGAATATGAAATTAGCGGTTTTGTTATTTCTTCACAACTCCTTGAGCAAAGTGGTAACAGAGCAAATAAAGGTGTAAAATTGGGAAAATAAGAAACAGCAAAAGGATTTTACATTTTACAGACTTCTTTCTACTCTCAGCATCGGGCATCAGCTGGGTCGCTAAAGCCACGTGGATCTTTGACAATTTACAGGCAAGCATCCAAAAATTGTTGTGACCTGTCGATGTAGGTACTGTGGACTAGTCAAACCTCCCACATGCGCAAGTGGCCCCCACGAAAATACCACGTCAACCAATCAACTTCTAGCCACG